CAATTCACCTATGAGGAAAGACTGGATAGGCTAGGGTTTTTTTCCTTGGAGCAGAGAAGGCTGTGGGGGTATCTGATTGTGCTATACAATGTTCTGATGGCCCTAGGCAGGGTAAGTAGAGAGATACTTGTCCCATTAGTAGAGAGGTCAGTAATCAGGGGAGTTTTAAGGGAAGGAGATGGAGATTTAAACGGGGTGTGAATAAAAATCTTTTCACCCAGAGATCAGTGAGTATCTGGAACTCACTGCCTGAAGGGCCAGTCCAAGTGGGATCTCTCAAGACAACTAAGAACTTTTTGGATGAACATTGAAATGCTATATCATACAAAGCTACTGGCCAAGTACTGGAATGTGAGACTGGAATGGATGGAGGTCTGATGGCTAGTGCAGACAGAATGGGCCGAAGGGCCTCTTTCTGTGCTATAAAAAATTCTACGCACTCCTTGCGAAGGAAACTCCTTGCAAACTCAGCTTTTATACAAACAGTTAGAACACCTGGACAATCACCAAACATTCTGCAATCACTGACTCATCAACTGATTCCGTGACCAATGCAAAATGGTTCACCAATGAAGTTCAGAGTTGGGAACTTCCAGACAGAGGAACCATTGGGGCCAAATACCGTAGATCCTATAGAAATCTAGAACATAGGAGCAGAAACAGGCCATTTGACACTCAACAGGATCATGACTGATCCTCTTTTCCAACATCATACTCCCCCTGTATCCCCATATCCTTTGACACCTTTAGCTTTGAAAAATCTATTTATTTCAAAAATAATCAGTGACTTGGCCTCCACAGCCTTCTATGGTAGAGATTCCATAGGTCCACCACCAAGTGAAGAAACGTCTCATCTCAGTCTGAAATGATCCACTGTGTATCCTTAGACTGTAACCCCTTGTTCTGGATGCTGTGGCCAGGAAACGTCGTCCCTGCATCCAGTCTTTCCAGCCCTGTCAGAACTTTATAAATGCTTCAATGGGAAACCCTGTCATTCTTCTAATCTCCAGTGAATACAGGCCTAGTCTGCCCAAAATCTCCTCATACAACAAACCTGCAGCCCAGGAGTCATTCTGGTGAATTGGCATTGCATTCCTTCTATGGCCCCTTTTCTTAGGTAAGGACTCAGAGTCATATAGCACAGATCAGACCCTTTGGCCCAACATGTCCACACTGACCAGACATCCCAATCTGACCTAGTCCCATTTGCCAGCATTTGGCCCATATCCCTCAAAACCCTTCAAATTCATGTACTCATCCAGGTGCCTCTTAAATGTTTTAATCATACTCGCCGCCACTATTTCCTCTGGCAGGCCGTTTTACACACGCAACACCCTCTGCATGAAAACATTACTCCTCAGGTCCTTTTTAAATCTTTCCCCACTCACCTTAAACCTATGCCCTCTAGTTTTGAACTCCCCAACTTTAGGAAAAAAGACCTTGGGTATTCACCCTATCCGTGCTCCTTATAATTTTATAAGCCTCTATACAGAGACCAAAACGGCACACGATACTCCGGGTGTGAACCCACCAAGGCCCTAACCTGCAGTAAGACTTCCTTGCTTCTGTACTCAAACCCTCTTGCAGTGAATACCAACATATATTTGCCTACCTAACTGCTTGCTGCATTGTCACACTTAATCGCAGTGACGGGTGTAAAAGGACACCCAGGTCCCTTTGTACATCAACCTTTCTCAATCTATCACAATTTAAATAATACTCTGCTATTCTGTTTTTCCAACTGAAATGGACAACTCCATAATTACCCAAATTACACTGCGTCTCCCATGTATTTACCCACTCACTCAACTTGATCAAAATACCTTGAAGCCTTTTTATATCCTCCTTACCACTGACACTCCCATCTAGTTTTCTGTCGTCAGAAAACTTGGAAATATTACACTCGATTCCCACATCCAAATTTTTGATATATGTTGTGAATAGCTGGGATGCAAACACTACTCTGATGTACCCCACTTGTCACAGCCTTCCATACTGAATGTGACCCATTTGTTCTGTTCTCTGCCTTCTACCCAATTCTCAATCCATGCCATATGCTTTGATTTTGCACAATGATATCTTATCTAGGACTTTATCAAAATCTTCCTGAAAATCCAAATATACATATCTACAGGGTTTCCCGATCCGTTCTACTAGTTATATTCTCAAAAAAAAACTCCAGTAGGTTTGTCAAACACAATTTCCCTTTCCCAAAAGCCATGTTGACTTTGTCTAGCTCAGTTGGTATTTTAAGGGTCCTGTTATTACATTCTTTATGATAGACTCCAGCATTTTCCCTCTTACTGATGTTAGGCTAAACAATCTATAGTTTCCCATTTTCTCCCTCATTACTTTTTTCAAAGAGTGGAATCACCTTCCAATTTGCCAGGATTGTCCCGCAACAAATAGAATTTCTGGAAGATAACAATGAATGCATTCACTGTTCCCAAGGCCAACACCTTTAGTACTCAGGGAGCTAGATTATCAGGCCCATTAATTTTCCAGCACATTTTTATTAAGACTAATTTCTTTCAATTGCTAATGCCCAAAATTATTTTGTTACCTCTTCCGGGAAGTTATTGGTGTCTTCTAACGTGAAGACAGAATAAAAGCTCTACCATTTGTTTATTCTCCGTTATCAATTCTCCCATTCAGGCTGTAAGGAACCGATATATGTCTTCACTAATCTTTTCCTATTTGCATATGTATGGAAGCTCTTACAGTCTGCTTTTATGCTCTTTATAAGCTTACTCTCATACACTATTTTCCCCATCTTAATCAAGCTTTTGGTCCTACTTTGCTGAATTCTAAACTATCATGACATGCAGTCACTCTGGTGTATCAGATGACCCAATTTGTCAGCTGCAAAAATCCGTGTTCTTGCATGGACTTGCTATAAAAGTCAAACCTCCTTTATAACCACAACATGCTACACTCACATTAGTTATCTGCTTTTACTTTTCACCTCAAGAGTTGATGTTTTACTTTCTGGTGTAACTGGGTACAATTGCAAAGCCATGGAGAAGATTAAGACATCGCCACACAGAACAATGGCTTTGTGCTGAACAATAAACATGGTGACCACTGCCCCCTCCTGGTGGTTCACTTTTATACAGTGCATGAGTCAAAACCTCTACTGCCTTTTGGAGTAGTTTCTCGAAGCTTCAGAGGTCAATTTATACGACGGCATCGACATAAAAGGAATTCATTCCCAATGATATCATCACATAAAACTTCAAATTATGTGGCATGATTTTAGTAGTGAAAGACTTAAATGATTCATATGAGATTACCTTTGTCATTTATTGTAATGCTTGCATTGTCTATTAAATTAGATAAAGTAATTTCACATTAATATTGCATCGCTTAATTTTTAAATTAGCACTTTAGATAACGTGCACTATTCCATTAAACTACCTGAAGAGTGCAGCCGAAACTTTATATGGATTTGCTACATTAACTGTAAAGTTACCTACAATGCATCTTGCTCCAACCTGTAATGTATTGGTGAGTAATAATGTTCCCTGATGGATTTCAAAGCATGAAACATTAATGCTGCGGTTCAGTTACCTAGAGAAAGTGCAGAGCTCACTAAGGTGGACTTTCATCGTTAAACGAGGCATCGTAGAATAGTCGAGAAGAGCGTTTGGCAGTCCGTGCAGTGAAGGGGACAGTCTTCAGTGCTGTGCATGAGAGTCCAGGCAGGAAGAATGATGCCAATGTAGTGTCCGAAAGGAAGGGGGACAGAGGTACGGAGATTGACATGACAAGAAGGAGGAATGGAAGGAGCAAGCATGATGGAGATAAAGAACAAGCAGAAGAGAATGTGATTAAAATCATGAAAGTAGGACATAGACAGCAAGCAAATGAAAAGCAACAAAGAGCGGAGAGAGGACATAAGGAAAACAGGGGATAGGGAGGGATATATAAACAAGAGCAAAGTAAAGAGTGAGAGTCATAGAGGCTGTTTCCAACTCAACAATATTAACAATGAATAAGAAAGAGTCACATTTTCCCTTCCTCCAAAAATTTGAAACAAGAAATCTTTTGTTTCAATAGAAGTGGTTTACAAACAATCTAAATTTTGCTTTTGCATGATGTGTCTGTCTAATGTTTCTTTAATGGTTATGAGAACAGAGAATCACATTTCATTCATCTCATCCAGCTTTACAGAAATAAAACACAAGTTTGGATGCAAGTGATATTGGAAGTAATTCAAAATAATGGCTGACATTCCCTTTAGAAGAGCAATGTGCCATTTGAACTAAGGTTTGGCTTTCTACAACTTTACAACAGCTGAGAAACAAGCCACACTTTCAGGGATTTCTCAATTTAACCACTGACTCCAATAGTAACTCATACAGTGGTAAAGATACCCAGGTTTCAGAGAGCTTACTACAGTGCTGTAACAGCTAAATACATAAGACACAATTTTACCTGTACTTCGTTCTTGACCTCCCTACTTGGTTTAAGAAGAATTAAGCGTTATCACTTATCTGACCGCTCCCAAATTTAAAGTCAACTGTGTATTTTCTCCATATTTTTCTAACTCACGGTCTACTTGGGACTTCCTTCAATGAGCTCAGTTACCCCTGGCTGGAAAGTGTCACCTTGATGAGTGGCACTGTCACACTGCCAATGGAACAGCAGGCTATTCAGTCCCTCAAACCCTGCTACACCATTCAATTGGAATCTGGCTGATCAACTCTCCACTTATCCACCAGCATTCCTTTGTATTCCTGGTCTGACAAAAATCTTTTGCTCCGAAACATCAAGTGTTCCTCAGCATCCCATAACTTTTGCAGATTTCTACAAAACTGTGACTGTGTAGTAACATGTTCTGCACTGAAGTGACATGATAGAGCCAGCATAAGGATTCGCTATGTGACTGTTTGGGGTGGGGAGAGAGGTTAAGTCCCTCCTAGCCACCTATTTAAGGATTAGTGTTCAAATTTTACTTTCCCATGCCAGCTAGCTGACATTCTCCTCTGATCAATTACCTGTGATAATATCCTCAATTGCTCCATCCTTGCCCTCATACACCATTCTCTCTTTGCCCTGCTGCTTCTTCTTCAGCTCGGCCATTAGATCCATGTGAGGGACTTTATTCCTAATGGGAAGGGGCTACGGAAAACAAAAACAAGAATTCACTTATTATGGCTGTGAAGCTGCAACTTTCATCAGAATCAATCATCAGAAAATAAAATCATTTTTGAAATTGAAGAAGTGAAATTGGAGTCACCCATTTTAGAAAATAGCATACAGGCTGGGTGTAAACTCCTCTGTTAAATCATTCCCTGTTTAAGTAAGATAAAATAGCAGATCTCTTATGATGCGACTTGCACTCAGATGAGTGGCATGCTGCCTTATAAGGTTGAAATGATTTCATCATATTGAATGGTGTGTTTCTTTAGAGCTGAAAACTCAAAGTTTGTTTAATAGGTACAGAGTTCAAATAGGGGTGACAGTTAGGCAAACACTGGTTGAAATATGCAGTTTGTTAGTTGAAAAATTCGATGTTAATTGTTTTAACTGATATGAAGAGCATACAAGTGGAGGGTTTGACTGGGTGGTTCCTTAAGTGTATACACCAGTAGAGTGGGGAGTCTTGTTTTCAGTGGTAATATCCCTGCCTCTGGGCCAGGAGGCCTGTATTCATGTCTCATCTACTCCAGACTTTTGAATGGACCTCTGATACATTAAACTTGATCTTTCTCGCACCTTCTCTGTAGCTGTAACACTACATTCTGCATTCTGTTCTATTACCCTGACGTACTTATGTAAGGTATGACTTGCCTGCATAGCATACAAAACAATACTTTTCACTGTATCTTGGTACATGTAATAAATCAAATCAAACATCCAGACATGTGTTACAACATCTGAATGGGTTGATTAGAAAATATCTACTGTGGCAGAGTGAAATCAAGAGAGATACACCTGTATTTCTTTATTATCATCATAAAATTCTGACAGTGCAGATAGAGGCTATTTGGCCCATCGAGCCTGCAGTGGCCCTCCTAAAAGCATCCCACTCTATTCCCATGACACCACATTTCCCCTGGCTAATCCACCAAGCCTGCATAACCCTGGATACTATGGGGCAATTTAACATGGCCAATCCACTTGACCTGCACATCTTGGGATTGTCTGAAGAAACCCATACAGACATGGGGCGAATGTGTAACCGCCACACAGACAGTCACCCAAAGGCTGGAATTAAATCCAGGCCCATGGCGCTGTGAGGCAGTAGTGCTAACCGCAGTGCCACCATGCCACCCTTTGGTAAAAATCTTTCACAGACTTGTTCTGGTTTATTCTTTCATCAACTGATTATTGGGATTTAAATACCCCTGACAACTCAAGGGTAGAAATACCTGCTTGTCAAAGAAACTTATTTGCCAATTATAGGCTGGCCCAGTGCTGGAAATCTTCAACCAGGGACACAGCTGTTAATTTATTAGAATAAAAAAGGCTTGCAAAGCCAGGAGCAACAGAAATGCTCAACATTGCTACAACAGTCTTAACAATCTTGCCATACTTGCACGCTGCACCCCCTTCAACCTGGTGTACACATGAGGAACGTACCATGCTGTCACTGCTGACAACGTAGGTGCTTGGAATTTCAATCCTAATGGAGGGTGAATTTCCGTGGTGTCCCGATAGACTTCAGCAGAGGCCTGTGTTTGATTCAGTGCCAGATGTAGGCCTCTTTGCTTGGGCACATGGAGCTCCCACCGCACACTTTGAGCTTGCTGCAGATTAACTGCTACCCACTAGATTTCAATATGTGTATCTCAGGCGACTTTCTTTGAGTATTTTTGGAAGTGTGACACAGAAAACTGAGTGATATATGAAGTTTGACAGACTGTATTGTTTTTATATCTTGAGCTCCCACTCCATTATGTTGCTGCCCAGCAAATGGTACCCACTCTTGGGTAGCTGACAATACCAGTCCCAGACTTGTCTGTGGAAGGCAGTGAGTTACTCTGTGGATCCTGATCCTCACTCAGGTGTCAGGTCTTTACTTGCAGTCTTGTTTTAATGGCCTCCCAACAATGAAAATGAGCTTGTCACGTGGATATATTTTAAAGTGATACAAAGTAAGGGTGATGTGAGAAAAAGCCTTTTTCACTCAGCAAGTAATTTGAGTGTGGAATGCACTGTCTGGAAATGTGGTGGAGGCAGATACAATTGAGGGATTCACGACAGCATGGTATGACCTTCTGAATAAAAATAGTGTGCAGGGATATGGGGAAAAGGCAGGAGATCAGAATTAGGTCATAGAACCAGTACAGACAAGATGGTCTGAAGGGTGTCTACTGTGTAATTCTGTTGTAGATACAGAACTGTGTTCTTCTGTCATTGTATCAGCTGTCATAGCAACCTACAACTCCACTGCACTCTGTAAACAGCTTGAGTAATTTGCCTTGATTATGCTTCAATCAGCAGTAATCTTTCCTTTGTTAGTGAGGAGATCACTGTCTTGAGGGACATTCTCTGCATATGGCTTCTTTGAAGGATCAAGTCTCGGTAGTTGCACTAGATAGCGGTTCTCAGCACAACTCGGGCAAGTGGTGGCAATATCTCTACAGTATCAGTTCACAGGCACAGGTTCATGATCTGCTGAGCACGGGTTCAAATCCCACCACAGCAGCTTGTGGAATTTGAATTAATTAAGAAACAAAAATCTGAAATCATAAGCTGGCCTTGGTAATGATGGCTGCGAGAACTATCACCAATTGTGGCAAAAACCCATCTGGTCCATTGATGTCCTTTAGGGAAGGAAATCTGCCATTTTTATCTGGTCTGACTTAAAAGATTTACTCATAATGCCCTCTGAGGTGGCCGATAAAGCCATTCAGTTTAAGGGCAATTAGGGATGGGTAATCTGCATTGGTTTTACCACTGACACCCACATTCCATGAAATAATTAAAGTAAAACGATACCGTCAGTAGCTTCATGTTAAACAAAAAATGGTCTAAGATTTAACTAAGTATAAAAGAAACACAGCCAATGGTGACCAGTATTGCTGTACTCAGTCAGGTCAATAGAATGGGAATGACCCTTCACAGAGACTCACCAATTTCAGACACCCCAGATGCTCAGGTGACAATTTCAAGGCCTGGATTCCAATTTACAGGTAACCTTAGACTTCTTCAATTTGTTTTGATCTTCCTGGGCTATGAAGGGGAAGGCAGGTAGGCCTTTATTTTAGCTCCTCAAATCGTTGCCAGAAGACAGGCCAAATGGCCCACTGGTAGTTCTTACACAATTTCAATCCCAAGCTGAGTTCCTAATTCAACGCCCTTAACATTTGGAATGAAATTGCTCCCCTTGTTTAACAAAATCTTTGAATAGAAACGGCACAGTGGTTCGCACTGCTGCCTCACAGTGCCAGGGATGTGGGCTTGATTCCAGCCTCAGGCAACTGTCTGTGTGGAGTTTTGCATATTCTCCCATGTCCGTGTGGGTTTCCGCTAGGTGGTCTGGTTTCCTCCCACAGTCCAAAGATGTGCAGGTTAGGCCATGCTAAATTTCCCATAGTGTCCAGGGATGTGCAGGATAGGTGCATTAGCTATGGTAAGTGCAGGGTTACAGGGATAGGGTAGGGGGATGGATTTGGGTGGGATGCTCTTCGGAGGGTTGGTGTGGACTCAATGGGCTGAATGACCTGTTCCCACACTGTAGGGATTCAATGATTCCCTGAACATATTTTCCCAAACCGCTGTAAAACAAACCAATCCACCACTCAGCTCAGACAGAGACCTTACCTTCACATCTGGCTGGTCGACGTTGGATGATGAGATTTTGTCCTCTGTATTCTGAATGGCCATTGCTTCTTGCTTCTTTCGGCTCTCATTTTCCTGCTCAGCTTGCTGAGATTACCAAAGAAAACGGAAACGTCAGGTATTGCCATGAACCTGCTGGCTTCGTACAATTACAATTAAAATAGCTTTCAACCACTGCTTGGATGTCAATTTACAATGTTTCATAGAATCTTACAGCTCAGAAAGAAGACAGTTGGTCCACAGTTCCTGTGCCAGCTGGTTGAAAAGACTAACCACATAGTGCCACATGATCATTCTTTCCCATTTTTTGGCAATTCTTCCTACAATTTCTTTATTATTTATCAAAGTCCATACAAATTAGAAGCAGAAAAAGAGCATTTGATAACTCAAGCCTGTTCCATCATGAATTAAAGTCCTGATTGAACTGTATGTGTTCCAAATTCCACATTCCTATCTATCCTCATTAACCTTGGATTCCCTCACCTAACAAGGATCCATCTACGTCTCTCTTAAAAATCACTTCCACTGGCTTCCAAGGCAGATCGTACTAAAGTTGCACAACCCTCTGAGGGCAAGAAAAATCTTCTCATCTCTGCCTTAAAAGGGTGATTCCTACTTTTAAACAGTGTTCCCTTAGTTCTGGGCTCATCAACAAGACTACACATTCTTTCCACATCCACCTTCTCAAGAGCAACCAGATAGAGTCAAATAGCATGGAAACAGACCCTTTAGTCCAACTCAAATCATCCCTTGCTTTCCTGAACTCTGGTGAAATAAAGCCAAGTCTACCCACATTCGACAACTTGCCCATTCCAGGTATTGATCGAGTATAAACATCCTCTGAATCACCTTTAACATAGTAGCAGCTTTCCTTTAATAAGCAGGCCAAAACTGCACAGAATGTTCGAGATGTGTTCTCACTAGTGCCCTGTATAACTGAAGCATAAATCCTTATTTTTATGTTTAATTCCTTTTGTAATATAGGATCACATTCTATGAGCCATCTTAATCACTTGCCTTAGCTGCATACTTACATTTTGCAATGAAACACCTAGATCAATATGCACCTTGGAATTCCGCAGTGGTTCACCATTTAAATTATACTCTGTATTCTTATTCTTCCTGCCAAAGTAAACTAGTTTCCATTTTCCCATATTATACTCCATTTGCTAGAATTTTGCCCACTCACTTAATCTATTGATATCACCTGCTTATGTCATCTTCACAACATATTTCCCAACCTATCAACATGTCATCTGCAACTTTACCCACCATACTTTAAATCTCATCTAATTTATTGATATAAATTGTAAAATATATTGACAGTCTGATGTATTTATACCGGACACCACTCGTCATGTCCTGCCAATCTGAAAAAGACCAATTTATGCATACTGTCTATTTTTCTGCCAGCCCACCAATCTTGTATTTGTACCAGGACGTCACAGTATAAGCTCCTGCTTTGTACAATAACCCCTTATCTGCAACCTTGTCAAATGCATTCTGGATTTTGGGAAATCAACACCAACAAATCTTAGACTTCATTAGCTACCTTTTTTAAAAGCCTGCGATGAAGTCCATCTGGATCCAGAACCTTATCCACCTCCAGTTGCGTCAATTTGCTCATTAACGCTTCCCTGGTGATTATAATTTACCAGGTTCCTCTCTTCCATCCACTTCCTGATTTAAAGGTATTACTGAGATACTTTCTGCATTCTCTCCAGTGAAGTCAGAAGTAAAACATTTATTCATTACATCTGCCAGTTCTTTATTATCTACCATAAATTCTCCATTTTCACCCTCAAGTCAACCAGCTTTATTCTTTTCCTTTTTTATACCTGTAGAAATTCTTGCTCTCTGTCCTTTTATTTCTAGCTTGTTTCCGCTCATTCTCTTATTTATTTGTACTGAAAACCCTTTTGTCATTCTCCGACATTCTGTATATTCTGACCAGTCATTTGAACTGCTGCTCACCTTTATCAAGTAAACACTTTTTCCTTAAGTTTGATGGTCTCCTTAATGTCTTTAGTTAACAACCGATGCTAGGTCCTCCTTTTGGAATTTTCCTTTATAGTAGGAATGTACTCATTCTGAATATTCTGAAAGATCCCTTCCAGTGTCTGCCACTACTCGTGTAGTAATGCATCTGTTCGCTTAATATCCCACTTCATTTCAGCTAGCTCATGATGCCATACTTGCACTTTTTAAATCTTTTAATCTTAATTAAACGTTAATTTTAGACAGAACAACCTCCCTTTCAAAGTGGATGTAAAATTGAATCATATTATGATCGCTGCTACCCAAAGATATCAATATTCTGAGTTTGTTAGTTAACCCTGTCACATTACACAGCACCAAGTCTAATATGACCTGTAAGGTCTTCTCCTCCACAGATGCTGCCAGACCTGCTGAGCTTTTCCAGCAACTTTGTTTTTGTTCCTAATATGACCTGCGCTCTGATAGTTTCTTAGAACAGCACGTTTTGAAAGTAATCTCAAAAGTCACAACTAAATCAGATTCTGCCACTCTTTCAAGCAGTGAATACATGGCTGGGATTTTTCCCAATTTTAATAAGTGTGTATCCACTGGTATTACCTTTCTTGCCAGTGAAACAAGTTCCTCTTAATTTACCATAGATTGTGGCATGTAAAATTACCTGGTATGCGACATTTTCTCAGTGTCAAGGTGGTCTATATTCCGATTGTGGAATAGACTGGAACTAGGAGACAGTATAAAAATAAGAGGCCTCCCATTTATGAGGGAGTTAAGAAGAAACCATTTCTCTCAGAGGGTCGTGAGTCTGTGAAATTCTCCTCCAGAGTGCTGAAGGACAGAGGAAATCAAGCAGTATCAGGGATAGGCAAGAAAATGGAGTGGAGGCCACAGTCAGATCAGTCATGATCTTCCTGAATGGCAGAGGGGGCTTGAAGGATCAAATGGTCTATATAAAAATCATAATGCAGACAATATTTACAAGAAACTTTCTTTTAACTGGCACCTTATGAAGCAGGACTCTTGATGAACCTGCCAGAACTATATTGCCTCAAATATTGTGAAGTTTACCGTATTATCACAATGTCTGTGTAGTCAGTTGAGGTTACAAATGAGAAGGTTCTCTCCCAGTAAGTTTTATTTAAGTCAAAGTTGCATTATTATTGAAGTGATTTATGCTATAAATAAAGTATAACTGTGATGTGCATACCCCCTGTATTATGTTTCTATTATTTAGTGTGTGTTTTTACATTGATTATGTGGACATCTTGATCAACTGGAATATTTGATCAACTGGTACACTCCTGGTTCCATAGGTGCTGGTTAATAAAATGTTTGCTGTACTATAAGTTAGAAAATTCTAATTTCATTAGAATAATGATGGGATTGCCCAGAAGTGGGCTTCAGGAAGGAGCAACGCATTCTGAAGCAAACACTGAAGTCTATACACATCATTCTAGGTCACTAGATAAACAGAAATTGCTTCATTGTTCAGTTCTATACCTTGTAAGCCTTGATGAATCTCAAAAAGAATGGGAAGAACATGGATGGAGGCATTGTTTTAATATCTTCACCAAAGTACTCAATGACAGACTGGTAAGCTTCCTGTGGAAGAAAACAATGAACACAAGGTTAGTCCGAATCAGCAACTGGGGCTGTGATGATCAAAATTAACTAGAACAAAGGTAAATCCTTCTTGAACGATTCCTTGGGATTTAGGAGTGCCCTGCACCTCCTGGGGAACGTGGATACTGAGCACCTGCACAAAAAGGTCACCTATCTCCTTGAAGAGACATAGGTCTATGTTCTTCTGAATGGAAATTTTCCTGGCTGCAGATAGGAGGTAGCCTCACTTACTATAGCAGGCATCTGCAGCACGCCATTCATTCTGGCTGAGTCACCACACAAGGACTCATTCAGATTTACACAATGCTTGGGTCTGTCACAAAGTGCAATCTTAAATCAGTCAATTAAGGCCAAGTACTGCAGATGCTGGAGACTTGAAATACAAAGAGAAAGTGCCAGAGAAACTCAGCTGGTCTAACAACGTCTGTGGAGAAAGAAGACACAAAAGATACCGGACCTGAAACATTAACTCTGTTAATGGTGCCAGACCTGCTGAGTTTCTCCACCACTTGCCCTTTTTATATTAAACCGCGTTGGTATTCCGACAGGCCTTGTTAGAAGCTGTATAGAACATACAATAAATGACAAGGCAAACTGGCAAATCATGCAAACATGCATAGTAAGAACTTGTTTAAATATATAAAAGGGAACAGAGAGGACAATGTGAAGATAGGCTTCTTGGAGAATGAGGCTGGGATAATAATAATGGGTAACCAGAAACTGGTGGTGGGCAAATTGTTAGAATCAATCCTGAGAGATTGGATAAACTGTTCCTTAGAAAGGCATGGATTAATCAGGGATAACAAGGTGTAGAGCTGGATGAACACAGCAGGCCAAGCAGCATCAGAGGAGGAGGAAAGCTGACGTTTTGGGTCTGGACCCTTCTTCAGAAAAGGAATAGCCAGGCTGGCTTTGTTAAGGGATGGTCATACCTTACAAATTTGATTGAATTCTTTGAGGAAGAGACAAGGAGGATCAATGCAGGCGGTGTAATGGACGTTGTCTACATGGATTTTAGCAAGGTCCCACATAGCAAAGTAAAAGCCCAAGGGATAAAAGGTAATGTGTCGAATTGAATCCAGAGTTGGCTTGATAACAGGAACCAAAGGGTTAAGGTCAATGGCTGCCCTTGCAAATGGAAAACTGTTTCTGCGGGGCTCAGTGTTGCAACCACTGCTGTTTGTTTTATACAATAATGATTTGGGCTTGAACGTTGGGGACAAAACTGGGAAATCTGCAGATGACACAAAATCTGGCTGTGTAGTGAACAGTATAAAGGATAGCTGTAACTCCAAAATGACATAGATGGGTTGGTGGAGTTGGCAGGAAAGTGGCAGATGGAGTTCAACTCTGATAAGTGTGAGGCAATACATTTAGAAAAGTCAAACAGTAAAAGGGAATACACAGTCGATGGGAATTACTGAGATGGGCAGATGAAGTGAGAGATCTTGGCATGCAAAGGCAAGGGTCCCTAAAGGTAGCAGTATAGGTAGATAACGTTGTAAAGACAACATATGGAATTGGCAGAGGTATAGATTACAAAAGTAGGGATATAATGATAAAGATGTATAAGAGACCGGTGAGGCCACAGCTGGAGTATTGTGTGCAATTCTGGTCACCACATAACAGGAAGTACACAATTGCTCTGGAGAGAGTGCAGAGAAGATTTACTGGAATGTTGCCAGGGCTGAAGAATTGTAGCTACGAGGAGAGATTGGAGAGGTTGGGGTTGTTTTCCTTGGAACTGAGAAGGCTGAGGGGTGACATGACGGAGGTACACAAAATTGGGTTGAGATAAAGTAGATGGGAGAAACCTGTCTCCCTTGGCAGAGAGTTCAAAAACCCAGAGGTCATAGATTCAAGTGGGACGAGAATTAGAGGGGACATGAGGGACAACTTTTTTACGCAGTGCCTGATGGGTGTCTGAAATTCGCTGCATCAGTTGGTGATGGAGACAGACTAAATTATTTTAAAAACTATCTAGATCTGCACCTTAAGTGCTGTAAGCTTGCAGGGCTATTGGCAGTGTGCAGGAAGATGGGATTAGAGAGGGCATCTGGGTGTCTTTGGGTCATATGGGCTGTGCTGTATCATTTCTATGGTTCTATGGTTGTAGATGGCACAGGAGTTGAAAAAAATTGCATTGGGCTTCACCATAGAAAACATCACCAGTATTCCAAACGTACCAAATACTCATGGGGCGAAAGGAGGCAGTGGGGTGTGAGGAAGTAAACACAATAACTATCATGGGAGAAAAGGTACTAGGGAAAGCAGTGGGTCTAAAGGCTACTAATCATGCATCCTGGAAATTTAAAAGAAGTGGATGTAGTGACAGTAATCTTCCAAGAATCCTTAGATTCTGGAGAAGTCCCACAGGATTGGAAAACTGCCGATGTATTAACAGGCCAGTGAGCTTTAGATCTATTATTGGGAAGTGATAGAATTCATTATAAAGGATGTCATAGCAGACTATTTAGAAACACTTAATATAATCAAGCAGAGTTAGCATGGCTTCATGAATGGGAAATCATGTCTGCCAAAATGTATTAGCATTCTTTGAGGAGGTAAAAAGCAGGATTGATAAAGGGGAACCAGTAGATGCAATGCATTTGAATTTCCAAAAGGCATTCAATAAGAGACTGCACAGAAAGCTAATTAATAAGATCCAAGCCCATGGTATCAGGGTAGTTTATTAGCATGGATAGAGGATTAACTAGAGGATGACAGAGTGCTGAGATAAAGGGACCATTTTCAAGATGGCAACCTGTAACTTACTGGGTGCCACAGGGATCAGTGCTGGGGCCATAATTATTTGTAATGTATATTCATGACTTGGGTGAGGAAAGTGAAGGTACTATAGTCAAGTTTGTGAATAACACAAAATGGGCAGCAGATCAAGTGTTAAAGATGACACAAAGGGTTTGTAGAGGGATTTCAGCAAGTTAAGTGAGGGGGCAAAAACTTGACAGATAGAATATAATGTGGGGAAACATGAAATTATGTACTTTAGCAGGAATAATAGAGGAGCTGAATATTATTTAAATGGAGACAGACTGCAGAAAGCTGCAGCACAGAGGGACTAGTAGATCCTTGAGTCTGAATTGCAAAAAGCTGTGTTGGCCTTAACATCAAAAGGAGTGCAATACAAAAATAGGGAGGTATTGCTAAAACTATACAAGTCACCAGTCAAACCACAGCTGGAATACTCCCCTTTTCTAAGGAAAGATATACTGGCATTGGAGGTATTCCGGAGAAGGTTCCCTGGGTTGCTTCTGGAAGGGTTTTCTTATGAGGAGAGATGGAATAAGTTGGACCTTCCCACATTGGAACTTCGAAGAATGACAGGCAACCTTATTGAAACATACAAGATTGTTATGTGCCTTGACAGGGTAGATCCAAATGTTGTTTCCCCTTGTGAGAGTCTAGGACCAGAGGGCATAATCTCAGAGTAAGAGGTTGCCCATTTAGGACAAAGATGAGGAGAGATTTTTTTTCCTCTCAGAGGGTAGCAATTTGTGGAAATCTTTACCACAAAGGTCTGTAGGGACCGGGTCATTAAGTGTATTCAAAGCAGAGATAGACAAACTTTTACTCAGCAAGGGGATCAAAGGTTGTGGAGATTAGGCAGGAGGGTAAAGTGCATGATTAACAGATCAGCCATGATTTGATTGAATGGCAGAGTAGACTTGTTGGGCCAATTTTCTGCTTCTACATCCTATGGTCTTAGGAGTAGCAATTGGTGCTCCCTCAAATGCTCCTGCTGGCATTCAGTCAGGGCAGTCACCATGGAAACAGGCTGGGAAGCAAACCCAGTCTCATTTGCTTGCAGTATATCAAGTGGTGGAGCACATTATTGAGACGTTCTCAGTGCCTGATCAAGGGACCCGGCATCAGGAAGAGGGGAGTCTGCTGACAGCCACCCTCTGCCCTTTCTTCTGACTCCTGGGCTACATCCTTATCCAGCAACCTCCATTCCAACCCCATTTACCTGTGGCCTGGGTCCCCAAAGCTGATACGAGCCTCCTGTTGGATGTACTACCAGGAGTTACCACCTAACCTGGTGGCAATGCCTGCAATGGAGACATACCAGCCCTGACCAGCTGGTAGTGTTTGGGTGTAGGTTTGGAAAGTTCTGGGGTGGGGGTGGGGGTGGGTATGGGTTCTCCCCCTGGGGTCCTTCATCCTGAGGTAGGCCCCTCACTTGCCACTTTGGTTGAGGAGAGGTATTTAATACACTGGCCCTTTCCTAACAGAGTCCAGGTGGTCGGGTGGGGTGGTGGTTGTGGGAGGGGGGTGGTGTGGTGATCTCACCAGCTCTCCAAAATGGGTAAGGGCAGGGCAAGACCTCCATCAGCTCAATTAAATTTTGCCCACAGATTGTGACAGGCTCAAGAGCCATCAATATCATATCAGGGACAACTTGAAATTTTCACTTCACAAGTGAACACATTGGGTGACAACAAGTTTGAATGTAGGAGTTGGGACGTTATATGCAAGACATTGGTGAGGCCTCATCTGCAGTACTGTGTCCCGAGCTGGGCGCCCTGTTATAGGAAGGATATTATGAAGTTGAAGCGGGATCAGAAGAGAATTGCCAGGATCTTGCCAGGAATGGCTGGTCTGAGTTAAGGAGAGGCTGGATGGGTTGGGACCTTTTTCATTGGAGTGTAGGAGGTTGAGGCATGACCTTATAGAGGTTTATAAAATCATGAGTGGTATAGATAAAGTGAATGGCAAGTTTCCCTGGGGTGGAGAATTTCAATACTATAGGCATATTTTTATGATGAGAGGAAAACGATTTTAAAAAAGACACTAGGGGCAATTTGTTTTACAAAGAGAGTGGTTCGTGTGTGGAACGAACTGTCAGAGAAATTGGTGGATGTGGGTGCAGTTACAATGTTTAAAAGACATTTGGATAGGTTCATGAATAGGAAAGGTCTGGATGGATATGGGCCAAGCAAAGGCAGGTAGGACGAGTTTAGTTTGGGATTATGTGCAGCATGGACTGATTGGACCGAAGGGTCTGTTTCCGTGTTGTATGATTCCATGGCTATGATTCTAAGTTTATTTTTGAATGAAGTAGGATTGTGAGAGAAGTAGCTGGGATTTCAGTTATGGAACAACTTAACAGCTGGAGCTGCCCAAATCCCTGCTTCCACATCTGCATCTTTCCATCAACATCTGGCGACAGGAACTGTTTTATTTCCCTTACTCATCTCTGGTAACTGAATGCTGAGAATTGTAGCTGGCTTTCAGCTATTGAGTGGTTTAGTGTATATTGATAATGATGGTCAAAACTAGCTAACAATCCGAGGCATTACTCATGTGCACCGTGCAATATGACCTCAGCAAGTGGATATATTGGCTCGGCAACCAAATGGGCTTTAAGACCACCCTTTGAGTGAGCTTGTTGCTACCTACCTGTGCAGTTTTGCCATCCTTCTGTAAGTTGTCCACTTTCTCACTGTTGCTGCTCAGGAACTCTTTCAGGAGTAAACTGGTATCCTGTACCATGAAAGCTTTCCGGACAAGTTCCATTCCCTGTTGTAACGATCGCACGTCCTGTAGAACATTGTCCAGTGACACTGCGATAGAGACAGCAAGTGGGAAAACCTCACTTGGGAAAGTCACCTATATTCTAATCAAAGAAGCTAATAACAGTTCAAGAGGGGAGGCAGGTACAACATGATTTGCCCAAGATAGGAACAAAAGCAGATTGATTCCTCATTAGCAACATCACTACCCATTTTCTAAGGGATTATCCCTTATTTTCATTGTTTGTCCCTTATTTCTAGGACAGCATGTAGGAGACTGAGCTTAACAGTCTTCTCTTGCCTTTGCATCTTCAGCTATTTTTGGCAAGGCTGAGCACTGAGGCCACTGGTTGTTAACAGCACCCTCCTGCGCCCACCAGCCGGTTGAAGTTTCCCTTATTTTGTTTCACAAGAGTTCACATCAACCAGACAGCACTAACACGCTCAGAGCTCCAACAAAATATACAAACCGTATTGGTGAAAATTCATCACTTTCCCTTCGTGAGAAGGTGACAAAAGCACATTCCCTTCATTTCCACAATACCAACACAATCTAACATCCCTGTCCCCAACATCACAAGTGTCATATTCACATGATCTAGCTTTAATCATTAATATAATCTAACTTTTGAAAGTTCCTCTGCTTCAAATTTTCATTTGTATTGGTGTACTCTCATCATTGTTCCCCCTTTTTGGTGCACCCTCATCACTGTTCCCCCCATTTGGTGCACTTGTGTCGCTGCTCCTCCCCACTTGGTGCACCTTCATCATTGTTCCCCCGACATTGTGTATCCTCATCTCTGCTCTTCCTTCTTGGTGTACTTAAATAATTGCTCCCAGTTTGTAAATCAGTAGCTACTCCCTCTCCATCTATAAAATGGTCAACATTCTGTTCAGATCACTTGGTTTTATTACCTGCAGCAGCTTTGTCGACAAACAGCAGCTCAGTATGAAAGGTACTGAGTTCAGGATATTGTGTGTGGATTATGTCCACAATGTAGTTCATTAGCGTCTGTTTTCTGTCTGTTGATTTGGTTTCAAGAAGCTGAAGGCGAATGGAGACACAATAATTAATGGGATCAAAGCTACACGTCCTCACAACTGTAATCTGTTTTAACTGATTTGTATCCAGCCAACTAACCAATTAACAAAATGTGCGCCAACTCGTTCAAAACTTACAGCCAATAATGCAATAACATCTATGTCAACTCATTCAATAATCAAGCAAGAACATGTTAACAATTTCTTTTTAACTTACACAGTGTACACTCACTAATACAGCCATCCCACACACTCTACAGACTAACAACCACAGTTTATTGCTCAGTCTAAACTCTGCTTTCATTAACTGGATTATCTGAACTCCAACCTTGCACACTCTTCAATATCATCCTTTCAGAATAAATGCTTTCAGATTTTAAACAATGAGAATGACATCAAGTAATGTGCTCGTATCAATGTAAAATACCAAAAATGCTAGAAATCTGAAACAACACAGAGAATGCTGGAGAAACTCACCAGGTCTGACAGCAGCTGTGGAGAGAGAAACAGAGTTGACGTTTCGAGTTCTGTACCAGTCTTGATATGTTAACTCTGATTTCCCCTCCATGGATGCTGCCAGACCTGCTGAGTTTCTCCAGCATCCTGGGAGTTTGTTTCAGATGTCCTAGCATCGATGGAATTACAATCAATTGATCAGTATCAATTGGTTGCATGATGACTAGTGAAACTAATATTGCAGACAATAGCTGATTATGATCAATCATTCATTAGACTATTAAGTGGATTATCAGACATTGCAAAATACATTGGACCAATCGCTAGATTCATGAAGATATAACTTTTCAATGACAGTTCCCACAACCTTACCAAGTCAAGACTCTGCAATCGAAAGCCATAAACGGCTCCTTTTTTACTGCTATTCATGTAGTTCCCAAATGCTAAAATGATCTGCAGGAGAGAAGAGAAAGAACAAGATCAGCAATGAATTTTAATGGTCTGTTTTTACAATAGATTGTTATTCACAAGTTGAATAGTGAAATATTGTATCTTACAACAATGATCTCACAAAATCAGCAGCAATTCATAGGTTTTCTTTGGTACAGACAAGTCTCGTTTTCTGTTAAAACGTTGCTCCTTAGGACACTTTTATATCTTTCTCCTCTTACCTTAAACCTATGCCCTCTAGTTTTGACACCCCCACCCTGAGCAAAAGGCCTTGGCTATTCACTCTATCCATGCCCCTCCTGATTTTATAAACCTCTATAAGGTCACACCTCAGTCTTCGATGCTCCAGGGAAAATAGCCCCAGCCTATTCAGCCTCTCCATGTAGCTCAAACCCTCCAAGCCCCAAAACATCCTTGTAAATCTTTTCTGAACCCCTTCAAGTTTCACAACATCTTTCCTACAGCAGGGAGACCAAAATTGAACGCAGTATTCCAAAAGTGCCATAACCAATGTCCTGTACAGCTGCAACATGACCTCCCAACTCCAATACTCAGTGCGCTGACCAATAAAGGCAAGCGTACCAAATGCCTTCTCCATTATCCTGTCTACCTGTGACTCCACTTTCAAGAAACTATGAACCTACACCCCCAAGGTCTGTTTGTTTGGCAACACTCCCCAGGCCCTTACTATTAAGTCCTGCCCTGATTTTACCTTTCCAAAATGTATTTATCACCTCACATTTATCTAAATTAAAAGCCATCTGCCACTCCTCAGCCCATTGGCCCATCTGATGTAGAACCCGCTGGACTCGGAGATAACGTTCTTTGCTGTCCACTTCACCATCAATTTTGGTGTCACCTGCAAACTTAATTACCATGCCTCCTATATTCACATCCAAATCATTAATAAAAATGACAAAAAGCAGTGGACCCAGCAGTGATCCTTCTGGCATACCGCTGGTCACAGGCCTCCAGTCTAAACAACAACCCTCCACCACCACCCTCTGTCTCGTACTTTAAAGCCAGTTCTGTATCCAAATGGCTAGCTCCCCCTGTATTCCATGTGATAAAACCTTGCTAAACAGTCTACCATGAGGAACCTTGTCGAACGTCTTACTGAAGTCCATATAGATCACATCCATTGCTTTGCTTTCACCAATCTTCTTTGTCACTTCTTCAGAAAATTCAATCAAGTTAGTGAAATATGATTTCCCAATGCACAAAGCCATGTTGTCTATACCTAATCGTTCTTTGTCTTTGCAAATGCATGTAAATCCTTTCCCTCAGAATCCCCTCCAACTTCTTACCCATCACTGATGTCAGACTCACTGGCCTATAGTTCCCTGGCTTTTCCTTACCACCTTTCTTAAATAATAGTAACATATTAGCCAACCTCCAGTCTTCTTGCAGATTACCCATGGCTGTTGATGATACAAATATCTCAGCAAGGGGTCCAGCAAATGCTTCCCCAGGTTCCCACAAAGTTCTGGGGTACACTTTATCAGGTCCTGGGAATTTATTCACCTTGATGTGTTTTAAGATGTCCAAAACCACTGTAATATGGACACTTCTTAAGATATCACTATTTATTTCTCCAAGTTCTCTAGCTTCCATATTAGGTTAAGTGATTGGGCAAAGATCTTGCAGAGTATAATGAGGGAAAATGTGATATTGTTCACTTTAGTAAGAAGAATAAAACATAAGTATACCATGTAAATGGTGAGAGATTGTAAAGCTCTGAGCTGCAGAGGGATCTAGGTATTCTAATGCATGATTTGCTAAAGGTTAGTGTGCAGATAAGGCAGCTAATTCAGAAAGCTAACAGAGTGTTATTGTTTATTGCAAGGGGAATTGAATACAAAACTAAGAAGGTTACACTTCATTATAAAAAGCACTGACGAGACAGTGTGCATATAGTATTTGTCTCTTTACTTAAGGAAGAATACACGTGTTGGAAACAGTAAGGAGAAGATTTACTAGACCAAGTACCTGGAATGGTCAAATGTCTTCTGAGGAAATGTTGGACAGACTTGGCTTATATCTGCTAAAGTTTAAAATAATAGAAGCCATGTTGGTAGAAACATAAGATCCTGAAGGCTTTTGATAGGTTGCACGTGGGAAGAATGTTTCCTCCTGTGGGACAATCTGGGGAGGGAGTCAATGTTTGAAAATAAGGCGTCATTTAAGTCAGAGGTGAGGAGATTCTTTTTGTCTCAGAGGTTCCCGAGTCTATGGAATGCTCTTCTTTCAAATGTGATGGAAACAGTCATTCAAAGTTATAAAGGTGTTGAAAGTTATAAACCTGATAGTTTTCTGGTGAGCTTTGGGCTGAAAGGTTATCAGGGACGAGTGGGAATGTGGAGTAATCATTTCAGCTATGATTTTATTGAATGGGGGAGCAGGTTCAAGGGTCGAAAGGCCTATTCCTTATCCTCATCATTAGTTCGCACATCAAGGCATATCTTTAATGCAAGGAAAATAGAATGTCCTGTTACATTTTATTGTATTGGTTGATGGAACATTTGTAACAATGTAATTGCATTTGGGTGGAACCTTGAATTGCTTCAAAAAACCAGAGCAATCTGTGCCTGATCTCACCCAAAGTGCAACCTCTTCCTTTGTAACTTTAAAGCGACATTTTGTTTGGAATAATACAACTTGAAATTAAATAACAAACAATTCTAGTGAAATGAATCAAGTTATTTTCCAGAGGGTAGGGGAGACAACAGGGGGTCTGTGTAGGTGGTAGGAGGGCAGGGAAGATAACAAGTGTGGATGTTAAGATTGGGCACAATTCTGAGGACATTCTGAAGATGAAGATCTGGAGGAAGCTTTCCAATAGGGCCAAGTTGGAAAGCTTGAGGAATGGAATATCATAACGCTGGGTCAATGATGACAGAAAATCTCAATAATATAGGAGCAAACAACATAAGTGGAAAATAATGTGAAATAACTTATTTTGAGTGGGCTCTGCTTTATGTAAGGTTCAAAGACATTGCCAAGATAAATGTGACAAGGTCATAGAGAAGTTGGTAATTCAAGATAAAGATTATAAACTCAGCATTCTGATGGATGGTAAGCCAGTGGAGCCTGGAAATATCAGGATGTTGCTGAATAGGACAGCAAAAATGCTAGGTAGTCCAAAAACGCTAGCTTGTATGGGCATGTCAGCTCACTGTTCTGTATTAGTTGCTGCTCACGATCAAGGTTGCTGCCGTTGTTCTGAAAGTTATAGAGTCTGACTGGTCAGGTGTGGTCAAGGAATACTATTCCCTGGTCTAATTAGAATAGTCTTTTAACGTTAACAAGATATGGTTTATTGCGTGTTTGTAACAATCGAAACCTTGTTACAGAGACTTTGAGGAGGATCAGATCTTAGATCTCATGCCTTTGAAACCCTAAACTGTTCTGTCCACAAGTCATATGATAATATCACAGTTAGTGGTGCTTATGGCACTCCTCAATATTAACCCTTTCAGACCCATGTACAACAAGATATGGTGCAGAATAATTGACAAGCAACATAACAGAGGTGAAAGCAATGGAATTATTCAGTATGCAGTTTTATGAGGAAGTGAATCACTTTTCTTGTCCCAGATTCTTATATTTTGATCCATTTGCTAGACAGACAGCTACAATGGTTGGAATTTGGCACTAGTTGGGATCCTTTACTTGTAGTCTGCCAATGTAATGTGCACCACCAGAAGAATCAAAGATTACTGGACTCTTAAGTAATTGATTACTGAGAGATCACCATCCCAGAGATGACCATAGAGACTCAAACTCAGAATCTGAGAAACCCATCGTGGACAATGATGAGTTCCAAAGGATTGGCATGTATATTCTGTGTAGTGCTCCACCTGTTATCCTGTTCAGAATCCAGTGATCAAATTAAAGTGCATTTCAGTCCTTTGAATTTAAATTAATAACTGTACGTTAATAATTACTGGGAGCACTAACACCAGGCACAATACTTACACATTTGGTTTGATATCAAATTGGGATACATCGACAGGGTAGATAGTACAACCTGTGATAATCTATACAACTGATTAACACGTTTCTCCCAAATTTCTCCATGTGCTGCTTTCACATGGGTCAGCTCACTTCTGTTTTCATGTCTGTTGCTGGAACAGAACTAGGTTGGGATTTAATGACTACACCAAGGTGTAGAAACCATGCTGTAGAAATCCTTGAACATATTCACACATTAAACTCCTTTCTCTGTTAATGTAAATGGGCATTAACCCATCAATAGCATTGTGCCTTTGTTCAAACCATGATGCAATTTCATGCAAAGCTGTTAAATGCAAGGTTGTAAATCTCAAGGGTGGTGTAGGGTCTAGCTTTCTCCATTTGCTGATATTAGTGAAAGCAGTAGGTCAGTGTTCATACTCAAACACTAAAATTGATCAACAGAAGGAGGTACATTATAGGGCTCTTAAAATACTGGTCATGTTTGGTGTTCTGCAGTCTGTTCCATTTCCCCTACACTTTACCCTTTTGCTGGTGAAATCAGCAAGATGCTACTAGCGATCTCCCACCATGTGTGCAAGCTTAGCCTCATACAATCTTACCTCCAGAATTCTCTTCAGCTTCACTGACGATTTGATGGACATCGATGCAGCAATGATGGCATTCAGTTGCTGCAAGAAAAGACAATGAAATCAATTTTTGAGAACTTAAATGAGTTACGGACGATGCCACTGGAACCCAGATGTACAACCTGGAGTTCTTAGAGGGAGATCTTGGAGGGTGACAGGTTCCTGTATGGGCAGATCAGGTTGTTGACAGCAAAAACATTAGTTTGTCCAGCATTTTATGAATCATTAATCAATGGCAGCATTTTGTAAAGAAGTAGTTTTGGTTGCATTAATTTTGAGCGAGTAGTACTTTCATTTAAAAGTATTTTGTGAGGTTTTGCAAAAAAACTTTTTCATTTGTTTAAAATCAAATTCTCCGAAAAATTCCAAAGCTGTCTTCAGTTTTATTAAGTATCACCTTCTGGTCATAGACAGAGCATCTCCAGGAGATTCTCTCACAGTCCGCACATTGTTATTTCGGGAGTCCCACATGCTTGACCAACTCCTTTTCTCCAGCTATATGCTGCTCCTTGGCAGTACCATTTGGAGTAATGGGCTCAACTTCCACATGAGACCAGAATGGGACCATAAGACACAGGAGCATGGAAGATCTGATGATCCTCAACTCTACTTTCCTGCCTTTTCTGCATAACCCTTGATTCCCTTACTGATTAAAAATATCTGTTTCAGTCTTGAATATGCTTAATGATTGAGCCTTGGCAACCCTCTGTGATAAAGAATTCCATAGATTCACTACCCTCTGAGATAAGAAATTCTCTCTCATCTCTGTCTTAAATGTTTTATCCATTATTCTGAGATGACGCCCTTTGGTCCTAGACTCTCTGACAAGGGGACATAACCTTCCCGCATCTACCATGCAAAGTCTGCTAAGAATCCAATATATATCAATAAGGCTGCCTCTCATTCTTCTATATTCCAACAGGTACATGCTCAATCTACTCAACTTCTCCGCATAAGACAGTCCCTCCATAACTGGTATCAGCTTAGGGAAACTTTTTTGCACTGCCTCCAATGCCAGTATATCTTTTCTTAGGTAAGGGAAACAAAACAGTTCACAGTATTCCAGCTGTGGTCTGACCATTGCCTTGTACACTTTTGGCTAAACCACCCTATGTTTATACTCCATTCCTTTTTGAAACAAAGGCCAACATTCTATTTAATTTTCTTACTCCCCATTGAACTTGGATGCTAGCTTTTTTGTGATTTGCAGACGAGGGTTCCTAAATCCCTCTGTGCTGCAGCTTTCTGCAGTCTTTCTCCATTTAAATAATACTCAGCTCCTCTATTCTTCCTGCCAAAGTGCATTAGCTCACATTTCCCCACATTATATTCCATCTGCCAAGTTTTTACCCACTCTCTTAACCTATATCCCTTTGCAGAATCTGTGTTATCCTCACCAGCTGCCTTCCGGCTTATGTGTTATCCACAAACTTGGCAACAGTACATTCACGTTCTTCATTGAAGTCATTAATATAGATTGTAAATAATTATTGCCGCTGCACTGATCCCTATGGCACTCCACTAGTTACAAGTTGTCATATTGAAAATACCTTGCTTATCCCAACTCTCTGTCTTCTATCAGTCAGCCAATCCCCTATCCATTCCAATATAATACCTTCAACACTGTGGGCTCTTATCTTGCTAAATAGCCTAATGTATGGTACTTTATCGGAAAATCCAAATATATTATATTTACTGCTTCCCCTATATCTACCCTGCTTGTTAACTCCTTGCATGGACACAAATGAAACCCAGTTCCTCAATACCTCCCAATTCCTCTGCTGCCTGTGGGCTGTTGGAATGCCCATTTGATCACTAAACATGGTTAGCTCAACTGGGTGGACGGTTGCTACGGAATGCAGTGTGACACCAAGAGTGAAGCTTGAGTTACTGTGCTGGGTGAGCTTACCATGACCGTCCTGATTTCTCAATCTCCCCCCTCACCTGAGGCGTGATGACCCTCAGGTTAAACTCAACGCTGGTCATCTCTCTCTGAAGAGAGAGCAGCCCTCTGAGACTATGGTGTCATTACCTAACTATTCTTAGAGGAAGCTTACCAGAATAATACCTTGATTCCAATGTTTAAATTATGAGGAGAGACAACACAAACTAGGACTGTATTCCCTCAAAGTTAGAAAGGTAAGGGGCGGCTTGATTAAAATATTCAAGATATTTAGACATACAAATAAAGTACATTGAGATAAACTATTTCTACTCATTGGGGTGCCTAAGATTATGGAATATGGTCTAAAAAATCAGAGTCCCCTTTCTCACGAGTGAAATTAGAAAACATTTCCACATATAGAAGATATTTAGAGATTTCTTCCACCAAGGGCAACCTATAGTCAGCGCAGGACAAGTTGACGCAAGTTAGTTGTCTGATAATTTAAAATCTGAGATTGATGGATTATTGTTAACCAAACTCAGTAAGGGAGATAAGGCAAAGGCGAGTATTTGGAGGAAGGTCAAAGGGCACCAACCATTTCAAAGGATGGTGTAATAGGCTCAAGGGGCTGAACAGCCTCCTCCTGTTCCAACGGCCTATGAACCTCGGGTAGGGGTAGAGATGCTCACCGGTGTCAGTAGTTGAATGCTGTCACTGAAGTTGCCCATGAAGATGATGATGTTTAGTCGCTCCGTGAGTCGTGGGATCTTGCTGAATTTGATCATGAAGCGATCCTCTTCCCCCAGGTCCTCCAGCGGTTTCTTATCGGCCTCATACTGCTGCAGCACTTTCCGCTCATAATCGGTTGGTACAAAGCGAGTCAGCAGCTCGATGAAATCCAGATTGAGCGACTGCAAGTCAAATCTGGGTGGCGCAGGATAGAAAAGTGATGCATGTGTTAGTCACAAGAAGGAACAGAGCCACTGATGTATACGGCAAGACTCGGACACACACACACCACTAAGCTCGCTTTGTGCACAGAGCAGGACGAAGAGCTGGAATGAAGACAAAGGTGGTCAGAACTGTTTACTCATGCAAGAAACAGATAACTTGGCAACTTAATGTTCTGGGGTATACATGCCATAGGAAGGATAGAAAAGGAGGCAACAGAGGAGGTGGAGTGGCGTTTTTGGTTAGGGATATCATTGCGGCTGTACTTAGGGAGGATATTCTTGGGAGAACGTCCTGTGAAGTTAATTTGGTTGGAACTGAGAAACGAGAAAGGGAAAGCCACCTTGTTAGGATTGTACTATAAGCCCCCCAATAGTCAACAAAAAATTGAGAAGCGGGAGATCTCAGATATGTATAAATATAACAGGGTTGTAATGGTAGGGGATTTTAACTTACCAAACATAGACTGGGACTGTCATAGGGTTAAGGGCTTGGATAGGGAGGAATTTGCTAAATGTGTTGAAGAAAACTTACATATTCAATATGCAGATGTACCTACCAGAGAAGGAGCAATACTTGACCCACTGTTGGAAAATATGGCACGGCAAGTTATGGAGGTGTTCATGGGGGAGTACTTTGGGGCAAGTGACCATAATTCTATTTGTTTTAAAATAGTTACGGTAAAGGATAGAACTGTTCAAAAACTTAAAGTTCTAATTTGGCCAATTTTGATGGTATTAGACACAAACTTTCAAAAATTGATTGGGGGATGGTTGGTAAGTGGGAGGCCTTTAAAAATGAGATAAACTCTTATTATCTCCAGTAAATCCAGTATGTTCCTGTTACTGTGAAAGGGAAGGCAGGTAGGTGTAGGCAATGCTGGATGACTAGAAAAATTGAGGCTCTGGTCAAAAAAAGGGCATATATCAGGTATAGGCAGCTGGGATCAAGTGAATGCCTAGAGGAGTATAAATGCAGTTGGAGTATACTAAAGTGGTACATCAGGAGGACAAAAAGGGGACATGAGATAGCTTTGGTAAATAGAGCTGTGGAGAAACCAAAAAGATTCTGTAAGTACATTAAGGGCAAAAGAGTAACCAGGGAGAGAATAGGGCCCCCTTAAAGATCAATGTAGCCATACATGTGTGGAACCACAGGTGATGGGTGAAATACTAAATGAATATTTGCATTTGTATTTACTATGGAGAAAGACATGGAAGCTAGACTACTTGGGAAATAAATAGTGATGTCTTGAAAAGAGTTCATATTACAGAAGAGGAGGTGCTGGAGGTTTTACAACATATAAAGATAGATAAATCCCTGGGACCTGATCAGGTGTTTCCCAGAACTTTGTGGGAAGCTAGGGAAGAGATTGCTAAGCCCCTTGCTGAGATATTTGTGTTATAAGCAGCCAGGGGTGAGGTGCCGGAAGACTGGAGGTTGGCTAATGTGGTGCCATAATTTAGGAATTACTGTAAGGAAAAGCCAGGGAGCTATAAACTGGTGAACTGGACATCAGTGATGGGCAGATTGTTGGAGGGGATTCTGAGGGACTGGATTTACATGCGTTTGATTAGGGATTGTCAACATGGCTTTGTGCTTGGGAAATCGTGTTTCACAAAACTTGATTGAATTTTTTGAATAGGTGACAAAGAAGGTTGATGAAGGCAGAGTGGTAGACGCTGTCTATATGGACTTCAGCAAAGTATTTGACAAGATTCTGCATGGTAGACTGGTGAGCGAGGTTAGCTCACATGGAAACCAGGGGGAACTAGCCAATTGGATACAAAAGTGACTTGAAGACTTAGGAGATAGGGGGTGATGGTAGAGGGTTGCTTTTTGGACTGGAGGCCTGTAACCAATGGTGTGCCACAATAATTGGTGGTGGGTCCACTGCTTTTCATCATTTATAAATAAATTGGATGTGGTTAAAGGTGGTATGTTTAGTAAGTTTGCAGATGACACCAAAATAGGTGGTGTATTCGACAGTGAAGAATATCATCTCAGAGTACAATGGGACCTTGATCAGATGGGCAAATTGGCCAAGGAGTGGCAGATGGTGTTTAATTTAGATAAATGTGAGGTGTTGCATTTTGGTAAGGCAAACCGAGGAAGGGAGAGGCTAAACAGACTGGAGCTATTTTCCCTGGAGCGTCAGAGGCTGAGGGATGACTTTATAGAGGTTTATAAAATCATGGGGGGCACAGATAGGGTGAATAGACAAGGTCTTTTTCCTAGGGTGGGGGAGTCCAAAACTAGAGGGCATAGGTTTAAGGTGAGAAGGGAAAGATTTAAAAAGGACCCTTATCACGCAGAGTGTGGTGTGTGTATGGAATGGACCACCAGAGGATGTGGTGGAAGCTGGTACAATTACAACATTTAAAAGGCATCTGGATGGGTACATGAATAGGAAAAGTTTAGAGGGATATGAGTGAAATGCTGGCAAATGGAATTAGGTCAGATTGTGATGCCTGGTCAGCGAGGACGATTTGGATGCAAGGGTCTTAACTTGATGACTCCAGTAAATCCCCTTAATTAAGGGAAGTTGTAATTGTATTGGAGGCAGTTCAGAAAAGGTTCATTTGATTGATTCCAGAGATGAAAGGCTTGTCTTGTGAGGAAATGTTGATCAGTTTAGGCCTATCCTCACTACAGTTTAGAAGGTGAGAGAAGATCAAATTAAGTGCATGAGATTCTAAAGGGGAATTACAAAGTAGACCATTAATGAGCTTAATTTTCAATTTCTGATAACTTACTAATCAATTGAATGTATTAATTGAATTCAATTAAAATTCCAACATCTATCATGATGGAATTCAATTCTTTGTTCCTAGAACATTACCCTAGGCTCTGAATTACTATTCCTGTGAGACTATTACTGCCCCTACCAAGCGACTAAGGTATCAGCAATTTTCTAATCCTAGTTTTTTGTGTATCCTTGATTTTAATCTCTCCACCATTGGTGGCCACACCTTCAGCTCTGAAAAACGCTGTGTATATCTTGCTGCCTCTTACTTCATCTTTCTCCTTTAAGACACTCCTGACAACCAATCATTCCAATGAAACCTTTGGTCATCTGATCTTATATCTCCTCACAATGCTTGGTTTCCCAATCTGTCTTACAAAGTATTTGTGAAGTATCTAGGGCTATTTACCATTGTTAAAAAGGTGCAGTATAATTGTGGTAAGTTGTAGCTTTGTGGATCTTCAAGTTTTCTAGTCTGAACCAATGTTGTGAATGACATAAGGAATGAGCTGATGCTCCTGGAGTGAAGACCAGTCAATGAAGTCTTCAGTGAACACCTCAGGAGCTCAACACAGGACTACCTACCTTGAACAAAAAGCCCCGTCACTGGAAGGTATGCTAGGAGACAGGCTGGTGGGATTAAAATCTCAAACATCGACAACCAGCTGGGGAGTTAACATGTGCCCTGATTTTCTTTCATTTCCTGGTCTTCTCTCAGCCATTCAATAATGACTGTAAGAAGATAAAAACCAGGAGCAGGAAAAATCTCTTTGTTTCAGTCCTAAAGGGCTGATCCCATATCCACAGATGACAGGAGAGAATTTTGTCTGGGGATGGAGGCAGAAATGGGATCAGAAACCTTTGAATTCTTTCCAGTAACTTCAAACGTCCAGTGCCTTGCTGACCCTGGCAGGCAGTGTACATACTACACATCATCGATATAGTGAATGAAGGAGGTGGATGGGGAGCTAATTAAACTGACCATCCTCTCCCGGATTGTATTGAGATTTTTCAGTGTTGGTGAAGCTGAAGTGACCCAGGCAAGTGGGAAGTATTCCATTACAGTCCTGACTCGTGCTTTATAGATGGACGACGCACATTGAGAAGACTCATGGCAAAATTCCCAGCCTCTGACCTGCCCTTATAACCACAATATTTATATGGCTGGTCCAATTCTGTTTGTGGCCAATGATATCCCCTTTAGCTGAGTATGGCTTCAAATAACATTATTTTCCCCTTGGTTCCCACTGACTATAATTTTGCCCAGGGATCCATGATGCCACACATATCAAATGCTGCCTTGATGTCAAGGGCAGTCATTCTCCCTTCCCATCTTGAGTTAAGCTCTTTTTTCCACGTTTACATCAAGCCTAGAATGGGGCTGGAATGTAATTACTCTCAAATGGGTAACTCTACAAGCTGCTAGGAACATGAATATCTTTCAATCTCACATTCTATCTTTTCAAACATAAATATTGCACACAGACAGTGGCTCTGAAATTTCTTTGGTTACATTCTTACAAAGAGGAAAGCTTAGGCATCGGGCAAATATTGTGCCCATCTTTCTGTGCCCACCTCAAACTTTGCTTCCTACGTAACCTGCAAAGTGGTGTGAAGGTTTCCCTAGGTACCTCCTTTATCTTACCCTGTCATGGTGCTTGTCGGCTATCTTCAGGAGATCAAAGCCACTTTCTTGATCTGGAGCTCAGCAACAGTGGTGGGGTGAGATGAGTTGGTGAGATGGCTCATACTGTTCTCCACTGCTATACCAGATCCCATCTCTACGTTTAACACCAGGTACTAATATCTTACAAAATTCTTACCTAAATTCAGCTCTCTGTAGTCAATGCACAGTAAGGGGCATACAGAAATCACATCACTTACAAAGCGCTCAAATTGTTTCAAGCAAATTCTGCTTAGTTTCCCCCCTTTCCATCTCCTACCCGTCCAAACACACTTTGTCACTATAACTCACTTGATTTTTCTCCATTCCCCACACAATCACAAAAGGACTTACTTGTCAATGGCACTGCAGATTTCATCAGAGCTCAGGCCTCCTTTCCGCAGAGTAATGGCCAGATTCTTCGCTCGGTTTGACTCAATCAGTGACACCTTACTCGCCACCTTCTGTGTAACCTTCATTTTTAAGGTGTTGATATTCACTGACGAGCCCTGAGCCTTAGTTTTAAATCGCTCCTCAAACTCTGCCATGTTCAGCTCCTAGAAATCAGTGAATAGTGTGAAGAGCAGAACGAATTGATCTTTTTGCAATTCCAATTCTAGTTCTCAGCAATGATCAGATTTACATCAACTTTGTTTTAAAATAAGGAAGCCCTCAATGTGGCTGGGACAGCCATTTTGTGCCAGGAACAGGAAATGAGTGTTTCTCTGGGAGTTCTGATTGAGGCAGAAAATGCAGGCCAGGAACAACTTGCTGCTCACCTGCCAGCATGTTTTATCTGATTGTAGTTCAACATCAGACCCAAAGGTTGATGTTTCAGACTGGCATGGGATCAAGTTGATCTTTTAAACTCCTGATGCAAAGTGCTTCCAAAACAGCCAAGTGGATCATTTGCAAATTCTGTCGCTGCGGCTGAAGTGGATAAAAGTTTGGATCTACTTTCTGTGTCAGGAGCAGTATCTCACCTGCAACAGCTTTTCGTCGTCCAGTTCAGTGAAGACAGTTCCATTGATTTGATTGGGTTTCAGTGCCACCCAATTCAAGATTGGCATTTGGAACTTCGTCTTGATTGGCTGCTTTACCTTCAGACCTGCCGAAAGACACGTACAATAAATTGATTGCTGTAGAACGACCTCAGCCAAGCAAATCTCACAGTCACTGACAGATCCCAACAACTCCTAATACTCCGAAGTTATTTTAATTCCTAGTCTTTTCGTGAAAGCTGTGGGAAAGTAGAGACTTTTGATAAAGAAAATGCTGCAAGTTACCACGACATCGAGGCTGGCTACATTTTTCAATATAGGCAGCATGAGCGCTCCTACGCTTATAGAAACATAGAAAATAGGAGCAGGACTAGGCTATTCAGGCCTTCAAGCCTGCTCTGCCATTCAATATGGTCATGGTTGATCATCCAACATAGTCCCCTGCTCCTGCTTTCTCCCTGCACCCTTTGATTCCTTTAACTCTAAGAACGATATCTAACTCCTTCTTGAAAACATTCAATGTTTTGGCTTCAACTGCTTTCTGTGGCAGAGAATTCCACAGGTTCCCCATTGTCTGGGTGAAGATGTTGCACCTCATCTCAGACATCACCTGTGTGCCCACACCATCCTGATGGTCAGTTGTTACAGCCGCTTGGCAATATGTGCCAACATCGAACACAATATCCATCACAACACCTGATAATGACTTCATACATGGCACTTTGTGGTACCTTCAGGCATCTGGAAAGGTGCACTATATGAAGCTATAACATACCCAGTGGATTTAACTTGCAACAGGGTTAGGGTTAGGGTTATGATTAGATTTAGGGTTAGATTCAAGGTTAGCGTTATGGTTAGAGTTAGGGTTAGGGTTAGGGTTAGGATTACAATGAGAGTTGATCTGTTATGGTTAGAGTTAGGGTTAGTGTTCGGGTTAGAATTGGAGCTAAGGTTAGGGTTAGGATTAAAATTCGGGTTTGTGTTAGACTAGCTTCCTGCCTCTTGTCTTATGTAGATGGAATGATGGGTTAAGGTTAAGGTTAGGGTTAGGGGTAGGTTTAGGGTTAAGGTTAAGGTTAGGGTTAAATTGGCTGGCTGCCTGATGGAGATGGAAGGATGCCATCAAAACTGATATCTGAGTTTATTTTTTCCTTTATTCATGGGATGCAGGCATCACTGGCTAGGCAGCATTTATTGCCCAGAGGGCAGTTCAGAGTCAACCACATTGCTGTGGGTCTGGAGTCACATGTAGGTCAGACTGGGTAAGGATGGCAGTTTCCTTCCCCAAAGGACATTAAGGAACCAGATGTGTTTTTCCGACAATTGACAATGGATTCACGGTCATCATTAGATTCTTAATTCCAGATATTTATTGAATTCAAATTCCACCATCTGCCATGGTGGGATTCGAACCCAGGTCCCCAAAACACTATCTGGCTCTCTGGATTAACAGTCCAGCAACAATACCACTAGGCTATCACCTCCCCTGCTGAGGAAGAAGCTTTGGGTTTGAATCCAAAAGCCAGGATGTGATGTCCCTTTCAAAACATAGCCAAACAGGTTGAGTATCAACTTGCACATCCTTCCTACATCTGCCAGGGGCAGGCAGTTAAAACGAGAGAGATTCCTGGTCAGCCATGTGATGGAAAGAGATTTGAAACTCTACCTTCATTACCCATTGTTCCAAATTACAACAAGTATGTAAAAATGCATCGCTGCTTGGCCTGCTGTGTTCATCCAGCTCTGCACCTTGTTGTCTCATGTAAAAATGCATGCTATCACAGCAGCTCTGTGTGTCTTTGAGAGGTGGGGAAGGCTTTGGGGCTATTTTTGAGCTCGGTCAGCTGGATGCCCAGTTCAGTCTAGGTTAATGTCAACAGTATGCAGTATGGTGCCCGTTCTCGATGGGGTGTGTTTGGGACCTGCCTCCTTACCTCCAATGGTTGGAGGTCATAGCAATGGGTCTCAGATCTGTCTCTGGGCAGAGAATGGAAGAAGAAGAATTTAAACTAGAGTGCACAAAACCATCAACAGCAGTGAGCAGAGGACTGTAAGAAAAGCTCCTCAGTTCCCAATAGATTGAAAGAAGATAATTGTTTTCAGTAAGGATGCATTAACAGGATTGTATGAAATCCTCTTGAACTGCCAGCATCATAAAGGCACAAACCACTTTCCACTAAAAGACACAGGCAGAGGAATTTCAAGAGTTTCTGTTCTAATGCTACATAGCAGGACTTCAATCCATAAAGATTGGTTTAAAATGTTGGTCCTGCAGTAGGTAATGACTCATGAAGTCATGAGTCAACACCTATCTGTACTTGTAAATTCTGGTATTTGTCTGACTCTTAGGCACAGCCTGTGTAAAATTGATGACATTTGCTCATAATTTTAAAAAGCAACTCAACTTGATTGGGTTTTAAATATAATTCTGTTGGTTCGGATTCCCCTTCATAATTCTATCACCGACACATGCAGCACACGAAAATACAGTCCTTAGTGGGTCCTTAGAGGGAGCTGTGGTGCCACTGGATAAACTTGTTTTAGTGCATACTGCAGAGATTGATGTAACACAGCGATCTCGGCTGCTGTGTAAGTGTTGTTAGGTGGCTTGAATTCCAGGCATCATAACCTTGCTCTGTTTATATTCAAACCTTAGAACTGCAGCCCAAGACAGTGAACCGAATTGTTCTTATCTTCATAAGGTACATATTTTGCCACCGTGAACCCCAAATCAACTCAGGGCCATTTTCTCAAATGTACCTCAAAGCTGCCATTCTGGAGAGCGACTGTCAAGTTGAGACCTGTGACCTACTCCATTCCCTGCTTTAAACTGTTTGTGCCTCAGTAGGAAGCGTGGCAGATGATCAGTGACAGAAAGCAATCACAGCCATTGACGCTTAGTGGCTTGAGTACTAGGGACTGTACATATCTAGATGAGGAACCGAAGGAACAATCTCTACTATATGGCAGTGGAGGTTCACCTGAACTGGGTGCTTATGGTAGGCTGTGGTAAGAGAAATCATCCGTTAAAGCTTTCTTAAAGTTAGAATTGTGACTGTTAGGGCTATTCTTTCAGTGTTAAATGCGATAGGACCATTGTAGACCGTCCGAAAATCATCCCCAAAGGCGGAAGTGAATTTGCCACGATAAATAAAGATATTGAAAGCAAAACTGCTGAGCCAAACGTCACCAACTGCAGTAAAAATGAAACGATAAGTGTATTTTTATGATAGACAGATACTACAATCATAGCAAACTGAAAACAAACCTGACAGCATGACTGTTAGATTGTGTGACAGATTTACTGAAACACACACTCACTCTCAGTCTTGTCCAAATAACTTTGGAACAATTGAAAGTAGATGTCACAAAAACCCAACAATTATACCTGTGCTGCAAGTTTCTCACCAGATATCAGGGTGACCAACCATCCTGGATTTTCCAGGGTGGTTCTGAAATTTCGCTTCCTGTCTTGGATCATGAGCCTGACCTTTCTGCCCAGATGGAAAGAACCATTAATGCTTAGAAATGAATGTACTGGTGGTATTAGAGCTCCATTTTGTGGAATCAAGATGTGTCGGGCCAACACAAGTCATTCACAAATTTTGCTGGCTTTTTTCATCTGGGCAGAATGCTATTTGTCCTTGATTGATTCTCCGCATTTTTTTTTGCCTGTGTGCGAGGCTGGAATCTCTGGTGTCAATAGGATGGATCTGGACACATCTGAGGAGGAGAGGTCCTAGCAAAGGCATGATGGGAAGGTCCACTCCCATTCTTATGGCTTCAGTGCTCCTGCCCCTTTGGGCCTGTCAATAATGCATCCTGTTCCCACAGCCTTTGCAGTAATAAACCCTTTCTTGCTTCCACCTCCAACCTGGGGCTCCTACGTGGTCATGTCCTCCCATGGTATTGCAAGTTCCACCAATGCATGGAGTATCCACAGACAACCCCCTGGGTAGAAGCCACATGCTGCTTTGATTATGCCAGCATTCAGTCTGTCTGTGATCATTTGATCTTGAACTCTCTCTCAGAAGCAGCCCAGCAAGCCTCTCCATTGCACAAGCAATGGTTCAAATGACAGCTCATCCCCCGCTTCTCAGACCCACCCCTGGATGGGAGACAGAGACTTGGTTAAAATGTTGGAGACTGTTAGCAGAGGGTCCTGCAAAGGAACAGACTGCTCCTGTTCAATGACCATTATCAAATAAAGAATCCTTGCTTCCTCTCTTGATGACTATAAGATGATTTCAATGAGGGAGTGAAAAAAATCCCTCAGCCTGATAGACACATAGAAAATAGGAGCAGGGGTAGGCCATTTGAGACACTCAATATGATTGTGGCTGATCATCCATCTCGGGCCCCTGTTCCCGCTTTCTCCCCATACACTTGATCCCTTCAGCTGTTAGAACTGTATCTTTTTGAAACATTCAATATTTCTGCGACACAGAATTTCATAGGATCACCCAGTCTCTGGGTGGAGAAATTTCACACAAACAAAGGGAATGCACCTTCGCAGCACACACACGCACGCGCACACTCACTCGCACACTGTCACACACAAATTCAGTCTCTCTCACACACACACACACTTTCTCACACACACACACTCACATTCTCTCACACACACACCCACACACACTCTCTCTCACTCACACACACACACACACACACCCCCACACCCGCACACACACACCCAC